CCTTCTCTGTATTCAATATCATAATTATACTGGTCTATCTTTCCGATCCAACGTGCCAGTTCACCCTCTGGGTTCTTTAATGATCTTAACCACCATAATGCACCATAAAGGTAATGATGGAAAGATGTCAGACTCTTCACTAGAGCAAGGAGTTCCCTCCGTGTTACACAGTAGTTCCTCTCTGGTCTACTCAGGACCCTACTGAAGTATGTCACCACATGTTCGTTTTCACCCACGTTCTGAGACAACACTCCTCCAATTCCGACATTACTAGCATCACAATCTCGTATGTAAGGCAGTGAAGGATCTGGAAGCTTTAAAAGTAGAGCAGAGGCCAATTTTTCTTTCAATGTCTTGAAAGAATGCTGGCAAGAAACTGTCTATTCAAACTTTTGGCCTTTTTTGGTCAAATCATGTAGTGGAGCAGCGATAGTAGCAAAGTCTTTCACAAACTTCTGGTAATAGGTACAGAGTCCCAAGAAACTTCTTAACTCTACCACATTGTCTGGTGTTGGCCAATCATGCACTGCTTTCACCTTGTCATGATAAGTTTGCACACCATGCTCACTTACAGTGGGGTCCAAATAAAGCACCCAAATAAAGTGGCATTTCTTGGGATGGAGTTTGAGGTTGGCTGCTTTCAAATACTTGAAGACTTCCTCTAGCCGGGACATTTCCTCATCAAACGTTGTTGCAAATACAATGACATCATCCAGGTACACTAGGGCTATCCTCCATTGTAGGCCTTCCAGTACTTTTTCCATCAGCCTCTCAAATGTTGCTGGAGCATTGCTAAGCCCAAATGGCATCACACAGTATTGCCAGAGACCTTGGCCATAACTAAATGCAGTCTCAGGTTTATCTGCTTCAGCCAATTTCCCTTGATGGAAACCTGACTTTAAGTCCAGAGTTGAAAACCACCTGGCTCCACTTAGGGCATCAAGAGTATCATCAATTCTTGGCAGCGGGTATGAGTCCTTTTCAGTTATACTGTTAAGAGCCCTGAATTCCACACAGCAACGTTGGATCCCATCGTTCTTCTGGACTAACACGACGGGAGCTGACCAGGGACTATCTGATTTCTCGACTATTCCTCCCTTAATTAGGCCATCCATGACCTTCTCCATCCCTTGTTGCTTTGCCAGAGCTATTCTCCTCAGAGGGATCCTTATTGGACGGTAATTACCTGTGTTTATTTTGTGTTCCACAAGGTCTGTGCAGCCGAGGTCGTGATCTCCTTTCAAAAAGACATCTGCATAATTTGCCAAAAGTTCCCTAACCTGAAGAGTCTGTGATGATGACAAATGGACTATGTTCTTTTTATAGAGGTCAGTTAAATGTTCTGGGAGAGGATGTCGTTTCTTTATGGTTGTATTTCTTGCCTTAACATTGACTGGCTCTACCTCCTGGCACACACCCAACAATGCCCCTTCCTTAAGTTTCTGCTCGCATTTAGAGAAATTAACCACTGTTATGGGTACTACTTGATGACCTGCCACAAGTGACCTTCCAATCTTCACATCCGCTGGCCTAGATGGGTCTTCCACTGCTTCCACAAGCATCAGGCTTCCTTGGGGATGTTCTTTTATTCTACCCCAAATTATTTTCTCTGACATAGGGGGGTATCGTAGTTGACTTAAGTGCTGGGACATGCAAATCAACAGAAGCAGCAACACTTACCGGAATTTGGCCTTTGTTGTTCCCAAACGTCATTTTCTCAAAATTAATTACACACTTCCTCGGTAGTAAGTAGTCCAACCTTAGTATGCATTGGTCTTCAATGTCAGCCAAG